AACCTAAGTGGCTGATGAAGAATAATTGTACAATCTTCTTCATTGCAGTACAAATGAATGACCATATTGGTTTTTTAAGGTAGTATTTTGTGCCGAACGCACTATTAATATAATATTTGGATCTGATCTTTAGATTTAAATAGTCGCTTTTGCTCACACCTACGGTTCTATGTGCCATGATTAACTGAAGGATCCGGTCACCCGCCGTGTAACTGCCACACGTCAGCTTTTTAACCGACTTTCATGTGCCTTGTAGCCGCCGTCCAGATGGCCGTTCAATGTAAGATTGTTGCAGGATTATTATTTGGTTGGTTTAGGCAGAGATGATAGCAATTTACAGTCGTGTTATTATATAATTTTTCTTTAAATATTTTATTATTACTATTCGATGTTTTAAATTCATAGTCATAGAAACCATACAATATTTTTCAAATAGTCTCACGCAATGAACCTGATAATATCTCATGGAGAATAGAATTATCAATTTTGAACTTTTTCCTCAATTTATCTAGCAAATGCAGTTTGTGTGAAAGTTGTAAGTCTTGAATTTACATAAAGGGTTTTGCAAAATTGCGAAAGGAGCTCAGCACTAGATAAAAAGACCAACTATTGCTCGGTATCAACAAAACCAAAAGCTCCTCTTTTTTGAGCTACGTGCTCTGGAATCAGGGCCAAAAAACTTGGTCAAGTAAACGAAAAAATCCCGACTTACAGCGAAAAGTGTTTGCTTTTGAAAGAAAATGTTTTGACAGGACGGTACTTTACCGGTTAAATGTTCAAGGCAAATAAAAATGGTTTAGAACATGTCGGAACGTTGTTTTTTTAAGGGAAACGTTATGTGTCTGCAGCGCTCTTTCTATGGCGAGTCAAAAGCAGGAATATGGCTAGCATTGTTTGGAACCAAAAGTGAAATTAAATTTCATGGTTGTCAACACTCGCAGAAATCTGTGTCGATGGAAAATCACATGTTACTGCTGAAGGGAAAAAACCCTTGAATGATTTTTGTGAAAGCGCAAGACATTTTCAGAAGTGAATATTCAAAATTTCAACTAATGAAACATAACTGTTAACGGGCTTTGTAAGGATTGTAAAACTCGTCCTAGGGATAGGCGGGTGAAAGTTCTCTTGCGACTGGAAAACGCTCCCGTCTAACGGGCCAGAACTTACGCCTGCAATCCGGCCCTGGGCTCGGTCGTAAAGTAAGGCCGTGTCGCAGCAGCGGATGTACATTGTTGCAGCTGCGCTCATCCGCTCCATCGTAAGTCTCTTCTATGGTCATGTGCCTTCCATTTCCAAAAGGGAAACGCAGCATTTTATTGGGCCTACCACCGCAAAAGTTTATAAGCAATTCTTTCCTGGACTCCCAAGCTGGAAGGCAGCTACTTTACGGGATTAACATATGGTTTTTGACTCACAAGTAAGATTTCCAGAACTTAATAAAGGATTTTTGTCGTCAGCCATTATCGTTATGCAAAGAGAATGGTCATCACATTTCCAGAATGGCATATTATAAGACTGCCTTAAGTAATTTAATACCAGATTAAGACAAGGGTACAATAGTCGAGCGAATTTAGAAGACTTGCTTTACATTTTCATGAACAGTTCAGAAATTTTATGCCGGAAACGTTCCATTTGACATTGAATATTGTATGTTCGGTAAATCTAACATCTATTTAGGGACACGAAAAATAGCTTTATTCCAAATTTGCGTTCCCTGATTTTTCTATAGGGAAAAATTTAAGAAAAATACAAAATAACTGAAACCAACTACTATAAATAAATCTCTTGATACGAATAATATTAAACTGCTCTCCTCCTGTCAGATTAGTTAGTCCTAACATGAATATGAAAAACAAGTTAGCTCAACCGCTACAGGAAGAGAATCAGAGTGGCTTAAATTATACGTTTCTTAGGTCACAGCTTCAAATTCAGCGACGACTGCATTTGTGTCAGGAAATTTGAAACTCGAGAAACCGCATTAAATCTAGAGGAAATGCGGATGTTATAATTCAACGCAGAAAGATATTGGTACAATTATGATAATAATTTTTTGATGCATCTCAATTACGAATTCACAATGAAGTCATTTTTCGAACATGTTTCTGTTTCATGAGACAAAAATACTGCGAAAAAAATAATGTACATTATTTATCGTATAACGAACTTCGTTTCCAAATAACCATGTAAGAGTTTAATCTTCAATCTGTTTAATCTTCGTTGTATACAAAATTATAAATTGATGCCGGCAAGCCTTTTCTTTATTGACATGATTATATTTAGTTACACAAAATAAATTTAATGATGTAATCGCGTTTTATTTTCAGTTGTCTCGCTGAAAATGGCGATATAGTACACCGCTTTCGGGTCCACTCTGTGGATGCAGCTTACAAAGTTTCTTCACAAGATCACCTGACTCAAGTGCGTTAGCTTCCTCCGAAATAAATATGCTTAACTGTATTTTTATGTAATAAAAAATACTTTCGAACATCAATTCACCAATAAAATAATTGGCCAGCAAATTGAACTGTAACTAAGTAAAGCAAGGTACTAATCGCGAGTTGTAAGGCAACTCTAAATCATTTGGACATAATTAAATTTATGCACATATGGACGTGAGTTAGTAATTTTTCTGCTTTTGGAAATTACGTTAAGACATGACTTGAAAACTTTTAGAAATGAGGGAACTGGTTATGGTGTACCGACAAATGGAGATCAAGTTAAAAAAAATGACTGTGCGTTTAACTATAAGCTTTTTATCAAGTTTTTGGTAGATAGAAAATGAAATCCACTAAAAATTTTAAATGGCGACGGAAGAATTCTCAGTGTAAAGCCTTATCTAGCGACTGAGTTTCCAGACGCTGATTTCAAGGGACTCAATCCAATTACCGTTAATCAAGGCACGGCATTCGTTTTTCGCAATGATGAGAAGCCAGCTACGACGAGTGCTAAAAAACAGTCTCGTCCAAAAAATTGGACCGTTAAACACTTTCCATCTGGACACTCGCTGCTTTGTGGGTCTTAATGACACTAGCGAAAGCGAGAATTTCGGAGGCGAGAAATTCCTCGTCCAAGGAAAAGTTTCCGTCAAAGTTGAATGAAATGTTGCGAGTGGGTCGGCGACTCGTGGCGCAACAGATTATTTTTCTGAAAAGTTTGCTGTTATTCGCGACATTTCATGGGGGCGTTTTACTGGCGAAAATACGTTTCCTGGAAGTGATATGGATATTTGACTCCTACAATATGTCAATGTTTGAATAACTGAAATTAATTTCAGCCATGTTGATGCACCTCTAAGGGGTATTTTCGGGTAAAGTGTTTATGTAAATCCAGTTGATCTGATAAGAAAAATGTTCTAATTAAGGAGTGAGCGCTCAATGCTTTCGTTTTTCAATTCTGTAGGAAGTATTTGCAATTTCCCGTTAGCTCAATATTTCCCTGAAGTGTTTTAATGAAGAAAACATCTATTTTAATTCGATGCTTGGAAAATATCGACCAGAATCTGTACTAAAACGTACTGGGAAGGAAAGTTAATTGCGACTCTGAACAAAATTATTGATAATTCGAGCTTTATAAAATCGACCAGAGCCTTGGTTGTTGAGCAACACAGATTTTTGCAGTGATCGCTAAAAAAGTTCCGTTTAGAAAAATAAAATTATCAACAATTATTGATGAAAATGTTAGCAGCAATAAAATAATTTTTGATAGCAGCTATAAAATAATTTTTGCCTGATATCTTTTATCGAGAAATAAAAGTTGAGGTCAACTTCATAATTTCAACATCAATCTTAAAAAAGCTTATTTTCTCGCACAATTTGTTGGGATTTAATTTTCCCATTTGAGATTCAAAGAGGATTCAATGAGGTATTATATTGTTTTATAATTGAGTCGACAAGTGACCTTTTCAGGCTTCGTCGTAGAAATTATAAAATAATCACAATTAATTGCCAAATTTAATTATTGCAGGATAATGACGGTGCAGGTAATTAATTAATGAACGACATGGAAGCCGTGCGTTGGCCGCTCGAAATCAATATTGGAAAATTCGACTTTACATAACTTAGATTTTTAATTGGTTTACTTATCTATTTCTGTTAACACTGTGGTTCAATCAGTGCATTAATTAGTCAGTTTTACTCAGTCATGCGAAGTTTGACTGTGAATTATTTTCATATTTTCTTTATATATGAAGCTGGTGTATTTACGGGTTATTTGCAAATTTAGAGGATTTTTAGTATAAACGAGATTCATCCTGAAAATGCATTAAATAAATATCTTCTCCTGCTTAATATTAGCAAGTTATATTATTACTATTGCAACAGGGTAGGCTTGTAGAGTACCTTCATATTATTTCTGACATGTCGTTTCAAACTTTGACAAGATGAGGTGAGATTGTATACATGTGTGATTTGTATCAACTGCTGGACATCTCATACCTGGAAGAATGCCAGCCATTACAATTGCAATTTTTGTTGAAACTAATGCATTTTAAGAACGAGGTTATGTGGTATTTTGAAAAGTTAAGTGGCGATAAAGGCTCAGAGTGCTTAAATTGGTATAACCAAGAATGCTATTTGGAGGTCTTTTTTGAGAGGGCTTGAAGATTGGTACTAAGAAAACGTTACATCGGTAACTTAGTGATTGGTGAATCAACAAAATAGTAAGTATAGGAAGTTTAAAAGAATTATGTCTGCTCAAAATACTTTATCAGTAGAAGTGAATATATCGACGGTAGGCGGTAGTCAGAAATAAATTAACACTTTGGCACATTCACACGATTACCAACTGCTAAATTGTACTAAACTTATACTAACACATTTATCTCTAGTTGAGTATTGGAAATCATAAAATTGAACAAATACTCGAAACTTCTAAAGGGACCATTAATCAACTTCCAAACTCATAGGCTATTTTGTAGTAGTAAAAATACAATAATAATAATCATAGTAATACAGATGGGCATATTAGTAGATGTAATTAGAAGCACAGCTAATGGCACTGACCGACATCTCATCGGCAGGGTGGTCGACGAACTGCATCTCTGACTCCTCGCCATCCAGCAACACGGAGACGCTCTGCTCGCCTACCTCATCGTCTGCAAACCGAACATGAAGAGGTAGGAGTGAGGGTGAGATGTTACTTTTCATATGGAACGTAAGATGAGGTGTTCATGTGGAACGTAAGATGAGGGGTTCAGATGGAACGTAAGATGAGGTGTTCATGTGGAACGTAAGATGAGGTGTGAGGTGTTCAGGTGGAACGTAAGATGAGGTGTTCAGGTGGAACGTAAGATAGGTGTTCAGGTGGAACGTAAGATGAGGTGTTCAGATGGAACGTAAGACGAGGTGTTCAGATGGAACGTAAGATGAGGTGTTAAGGTGGAACGTAAGATGAGGTGTTCAGGTGGAACGTAAGATGAGGTGTTCATGAATTTGCAAACTTACATTGACCTGAATTTATTTGATAGGAAATTCTTGGACGAGCCATCGACTGTAAAGGTAATTTTCGAAGATGAAAGATTTGGAGGGGAATCGATTGCTCAATTGAATAGGAATCACATTTCAGAAGTCGTATTTTTGAAGAGATGTAATTGTCAAGTCAAAATTATCCTACACGAGATTAGAATGTCATTCATGTAGAATTTTTCTCGTTTTCGCAGGCTCTAGGTTTAATTTTCGGGACATTTAGATGAACATTTTTTATTAATATTATAGAAGTGTAAATCATCTACTAAGAGGTGTAAAAAGGGCAAATATATTGAAAAAGGACTTTAATTTGCTCCTTAAATACATTATAAATACCAGTTATAATAATTTTAGAATATTGAAGATTATTAATTATAAGAAGGAGTATTATAATATGCATTATTACTTTCATTATTATAGTTCGACAATAACTAAAATTAAACCAGGAAATATAAATAGTTTTTGTGAGTTTTTAAAGAGAAAAATGTTGAGACCACAAATAATAATTTGTTCCGACTCACATCATGAAGCAGAATTCCAATCGTCAATGTGAAAATCCAAAATAAAATAGACAGAATTCAGAACAAAAATCGCCAATAATCACAACGAATATCGGTATCAGCATAGGGGGGTATTTGATTTTTGATTGTAAATTCACTGATTAATTGAGTTCGTTTTACTAAATGAATTCAACCGTAACGCCACTTACTAATAATGAAAAGCTGAATCAATATCTAGAGGTCATGAAATATTTTGCGCATACATCTTTTATATACAGAAAAATAGCTGTAATATCGGAATGCCAAAAACAACAGCAGCTGCGCTGTTTCCGCAAGCGACATTCAATTTGTTCAAGTTTTGAATTCTAGCTTATCCTATAGTTGAAAATTTTAGTATTCATAGAATACTAAAATATTTGAACTATTCAAAACGTTCATGGATCGAATTCATCAATTTGAAGTATTAAAATCGTAACTAAAACAATAAAAGACAAAATTTTTTAATCGTTCAAGTTTACAAGCCATGTAAATACATCATATTTTTTGAGAGCGAACTCCAGACTGAAATAAAAAATGAAGCCTAATCAACCCGTTAAAAACGCAATCATCTCGGCAATTAGACGGCCAAATTACCTTGATGAATTTTTTGTCCAATGATCTCACTAATCAATTTTGCATTACTAGGCAATCCCTCGGGCTTTAATAATTTATTGCATGGCACTAATATTTCCCGCGTGCGACCCATCGTTAAAAATTATTTAAATTAGTAATAAATTAAACTGACCAGCAGCCAATAATATTTTCATGCCGCCAGCTGAATCGGATGATATTTTCGACTAGATTTTAATTATATTTTTGCAACGATATTGTTAAAGGTAATGCGAGGATATTGTGAAAACAGTTTTGAGACAGTATAGTGATATGATAGTTATTGCAACAATATTGTAATGATAGTTCTGCCATAACATTTTATTGACAAATTTTCGACTATCCTGTTATGATGGATCTGTTGCGTTCTTGGTAATGTTAATACGGTTTTCTGCGAAAATATTGTGATGATATTTTTGTGACAATACTGCTTTGATTGTTCTCTGATACTATTGTTACGATAGTTTAGCAAAGATATTGTTATGACATTTGTTAAATCGATATCCCTATCATTGTTTACGTGCCATTTGGGCAATTTCTTCAAATATTACTAGGTACACAAGTGAGCCACTTTAAGATGGAAGCTCAGGTGTAACATTCTGATGACAACTTTGCCGAAATAATTCATTTGATGAAGCTAACGAGGAATTCAAGGCAAGATTTTTTCGTGAATTTTCAGAAAAGAAGTTTTCAGAAATCGCAGAATTACACGAACCGATATTATAAAAGACGATTAATTTATCGTCACACAAAAGATACTCTATTTTAATGTAAAATAGATTCAAAATAATTGTAGGTTGATCAAAATATAAAACCATTTATACATTTACAATTATTTCCCATGTAAATGCTATTAATGCATATAACATAGTCAATCGCTTGCACTTAAATAAAAAATTGACCTTGGAAAATGTATCCTAGTGAAACTATGAAAGACTCGACTATAAAATTACACATATTAAAAATAAAGGAGAAAAATTGTAGGGCGACCAATTTCTGATTTGAGATTTTTTCGAGATTTTTCAAGATGTTTTTACTGCGCTACAACAGCCTCCACAAAGCTGGCCTTTATGCCTCCCCCAGCGAGTCTGCCTTGGCACCCGCAGGCAACAGAGGATTTATTCCCCGGCCTTAAGGGGAAGTTGGGGACACGAGGAACCCGTGCTCCTTAAGAAGTTGGGAGCACGAGGCACCCGTACTCCTTTCAGGGGAAGTTGGGGACGCGCGGAACCCGTACTCCTTAAGGGGAAGTTGGGGACACGAGGAATCCGTACTCCTTAAGAAGTTGGGAGCACGAGGCACCCGTACTCCTTCAGGGGAAGTTGGGGACGCGCGGAACCCGTACTCCTTAAGGGGAAGTTGGGGACTCGAGGCACCCGTACTCCTTCAGGGGAAGTTGGGGACGCGCGGAACCCGTACTCCTTAAGGGGAAGTTGGGGACTCGAGGCACCCGTACTCCTTAAGGGGAAGTTGGGGACTCGAGGAACCCGTACTCTTTAAGGGGAAGTTGGGGACGCGAGGCACCCGTACTCCTTAAGGGGAAGTTGGGGACTCGAGGCACCCGTACTCCTTAAGGGGAATTAAGTTGGGGACTCGAGGAACCCGTACTCCTTAAGGGGAAGTTGGGGACGCGAGGCACCCGTACTCTTTAAGGGGAAGTTGGGGACTCGTGGAACCCGTACTCCATTAAGGAGAAGTTGGGGACGCGAGGAATATCTCGCAACATTAACAAATGCCGGGGAAACTCAATTAAAATAAAATTTTGGCAGCCAAGAATAATCTTAGTTGCTGCGAGTTGCAAATAAGCTGAGAAAAAAAAAAGAATTTTGTTTGCTGTTTGAAACCAAAACTAAATAAAATTTCTTCATTTTTAGTAGGATAGGCAAAAATAACAGATGGAAAAATAAAAACAATTAGCTTGCTGGAAAGAACTCTACGTATAAAGCAAGCAATTACACAGCATATATCGAAATATTTTATTGTGAAAAAACGGAGTTGAGGAAATAAGTAAAACATGATTTAAGTAAATAATTTAAATATGTCTCAGATCTATGTTTCTTTTCCCTAACAGTTGTCATTTTATTCGAAATCTCAAAAATTTTTACCTCGTTTGACTGAATTTTAGCTGCCGTTTTCGGTTGTTGTTTCAAGTATGGATATAACGATATAAATTACGAATTTTCCTTTATGTCTCTTAATATTTTTCAACACTCTTGTAGGCACAAAGTTTTCTAAGAAATCAGCTTCGCCTATGAACCAATAAAAAATGTTTAATTTTTCACACATCTAATTTAAAGTATAATAAAATGTAAAGTGCGTATAGGAAAAATTGGACACACAACAACATCATTCAAATTATAAAAAAGCTTTCAGAAGAAATCTAGAGCTAATTTATTTCCAAAGACTACGGACATATTCCGCAGACTTCCGGTCGGGAAGACGCTTCCTGAATAATTATACAATTTTTATCTGATTTATACGCGTGGCCGAAAGGCCGATGTCTGGCCATCCACGATTCAATCATTATTTCCTAAGGGATATCGATCACTTTGGCTGAGCAGCCAGGCAATTGAAGCGATGCAGTAGAGGCTTCCTTCAGAGGTAGAGCGGTAACTCATCAAAAATTTCGATAGGCTTCTAATTGACTTGATCGAGGCGAACGAGATTGCATTGACACGTGGGGATGAAAATGCGATTCTCTTCGACGTCACGCGGCGACGTGGAAGACCGGGAGGAAGACGCGTGGACTGAAGAGCTTGATAACCTTAAATAGTTCTAAAATGAAGACGGGTGGACTGTCAAGCTCGATACATTTGATTAATTAGTAAGAAGACGAGTGGACTGTCGAGTTTAATGCTCTTGAATAGTTCTAAAATTAAGACGCTTGGACAGTCAAGCTCAATGCATTCGAATAATTAGTAAGAAGACGAGTGGACTGTCGAGTTTGATGCTCTTGAATGTTTACTAAGAGAAAGACGAGTGGACTGTCAAACTTGATGCTCTTAAATACGTACTAATAGGAAAACGGGCAAACTGTCAAGCTTGAAAAAATTGAATAATTACTGAAGGAAGACGGGTGGAATGCATAGCTTGATGCCTTTGAATAATAAACATGAGGTAAACGGGTGGACCGTTGAGCTTGATGTTTTGAAGTAATTAATAAAAGGGAGACGGGTGAAAGAGCATGCTTCATGCATGCTCTTGAATACTTAGTGAGAGGAAGAAGAGCGGAAAAATACAACAAAAAGACCCGTTAAATAAATTTGTACCTTTAGAGAGTCGCATGTTATCTCCGACAGATTGTTGTCGAACAATATTTCTAATCTCAGCAGGGGCGTTTAATCCAAAAGTTTTACTAATATAAAGTATCGCATAACCTGTTTTTTCCATGAATTGAAGTTGAGATTTTATCACCAATGACGCAAGAAGACAGAGAATTTTTCATTAAAACGATACTCCCTACTTCTTGATGCCTATGATAATTTAGAAAACAGAGTCGGAGCAAGAAAAATGTCTCTCTCAAATAAGCCTCTTTGATACATGACGAAGAAAATCCACATAATGCAAGGAAGAAATGACCAAGTAAAAATTGTTAGCCACAAATATGTAATAATTTATATTTAGGGAAGGCTTCATCAATAAATGAGAAAAATTAATTTATCACACATGTAAATGATGAGGATTCATCATTAATTCGATCTAGCACTGTAACAAATATTCTGTCACTATTATTTATGAGGACTGTCCGCCTGTAATAAACTTTATAAAAACTATCACTTAATCCTCAAACCTTTTTGTTTAATTTAGATTCAACCATAAGTTACAAGAGTTAATATTTGAAGTTTTTGCTTCGCTTTGAAAACAATATTCTGCTGTGCCTTTATTCTGAATTAAAATTATAAGGCAGTAAATTTACCTGAATCTGGATTGGTACATGAACCAGCAAAAGTAATTGGACCTGTAAATCTACCTGAATCCTGGAAGGTTCACGAATAAATTAATTACCATCCATCTTCATCAAAGATACTTAAACCACATAAGAACGTGGGTAATTAATCCAGTCATTAATCTTGAACTAGTAAAATAATTTTAACTAGTGATGGTTAGTGTAAACCAATTATATTACATGCTCGCCAGACTTTAGATTATGAACACTTTATTCCCATTATTATGTTCATTGAATTAGATTCACTACGGCAATAAATTTTAAAAGGGTATAAAGTATCGAACTTAGCGTCCTGTTGATTTTGGAGTCGAGCTAAGCGTCATCTTGTGTCGATATTTCGCTTGAGGAGCAAAAATCGCTGACGCGGCGTTGAGCACAACTTGGTCCTCTCTAAATTTTCGCTCTTGGGGGCCGTGATGGAGCCGAAACTACCTCGGTAAATGGCTCTATAAAAGTAACAACTCGAAATGGAAGCGTTTCATGGTGGCCTCTAAATTTTCATGATGTCAAAGAATGAACAGTAAAGAACATCACCGGGAGCAGTCAAAAATTGACTTCCAAAAAATAGATAAGAAAGAGATTAAGGTCGGTGCAGATGGGTCAATTAAAAAGTAAACTAATTCAGAACCAAATGACGACAGCAAATTAAAAATATAAATACATTGCTTCGATATATAATATTATAATTAAAAGTTACTGAAAATTCATTCAAATTTGGCGCAAGTAATTAGTTCACCTGATTTTTTGATTGCTTCATTCGCTGTAGCTCGTAATTAGTTTCAAGTTATGATGCAAAAAGAGTCGCTTTGAAACCGCCCTATTTAGTTCAAACTAATTACTAACGAAATTGTTCGATCGAAAAACTGGTTGTTAATCACACTGAGAAAATAACCTTTTGTTCCACAGAATATGCTTTAGGAGAAGTTTAACGTTGTGTGTCGATTTAGTTTTGCGTCAACGTACGCGGTGTAGAAAATGACATCAAAAAGAGAGTAAAATAGAGATTAAAAATTTTAATTCGTGCTTTGTTGTCCAGGAAAATTCTGTAGGAGCTCTGACATAATTTCAGCAGCAAAATCAAATACGTAATTCTCAAAGAAAACATGTAAATTCGTGCATATGTAAAAATATCTTCCATAAAGAAAGAAAATCAAACAATAAATTACAAAGAAAAATAAACATATCAATATAATATTAAACAATAAATATAATATTGATTTAATTTGATCAAAATTCACTCGTGTTTTGAAACGTACTCTACGTCTGATGAAGGTATTGAAAACATCCATTGGCAAAAGAAACTTAATTTAAAATGTATCATTAGGAAGAATGTGCAACAAAGTCGCAGTCCGATCAACTAAAGATTCAATAATTGAATCGTGAATCTTTCTGATTGATCAGCTAATTAAATGCAAAATATTAAGACAGATAAAATAAAAATTTATAGGGAAGAGGGTCTTCCTGAATGAGAAAATCTTTAATTATATCATTTAAAATTGGAGCATTTGTACCCCAGCAAGCACAGATTCCCGTATTTGCAGCTTCTTCATAACTTATTATCACTCGCCTGCAAGATGACTTTTGGCCAAGTAAAATCGGAAGCAAGTTTAAATCAAATAAATTTAAATGTAACTTTTTAAATTCTGCATTAAGATGCGAGAAAATTTCTGCAAATTTGAATAACAGACTAAGACAGGCTGAAAATCAGATTATAATAGAATTTAAATATAGTTACAAATTTGAATAAAGTTCATATGCAATTTACTTAAAATTAGAAATAAAGCTAAAGATGAATTAAGTTGTATTTGTTGAGTTGAAGTTGAAGCAAGTGCGTGTGGTGGAGGGCATATCTTTCGGTGTATAGAGTAGCTGCTACACCACATACGCCGACGGATATGCCTTCCAACACCGCAGTAGATACTCCATGGTGCAGTAGATGCTCCATGGTGCAGTAGATGCTCCATGGTGCAGTAGATACTCCATGGTGCAGTAGATACTCCATGGTGCAGTAGATGCTCCATGGTGAAGTAGACACGTTAGGCCTTTGGTTACACGTAGAAGATGCCAGATAACAGTTACTTCGTTGAAAGTATTCACCATAGTCGCAAGGGATAATCAATATCATCAACGGTGTTAATACTGCTTGCCATATAATAATACGAATATATAGTCCTCATCCTGGGAGCAGTAGACATTCTAAACAGTAGACGTTGTAGATACTCCACAGTCCCTACCGCAAATGCAATACATAAATAATAGCACAAATGCAGCAGACACGATACAATACGAAGTAATACATATAACAAATTGCAACAATTTTCATCATCTCATTTATTAGTCGACTAATAGTTAGCGTTGAATGATGCCACATGGGATTTATTAAGACGGATATTCCGCTTCATAGTTATAGGTTGGGTGTGTCTGGGATTTATGCGCTTTACTGTAAGTGAAGATAAATCTTCGCAGTTACTTCTATAATTGAAATATTATATTGAGATTTCATCACACAAGAATTGTATTTTATGAAATTAGTTCCATTAACGCTTTAATTGGAAGTTAATTGACTTGATATCGTAAAATATGATGCTAGTTTCAGTCAAGATTGCACGATTTGTATAGAAATGGCGATGACAATATGAGATAGAATTTATATCAGAATTTTTTTAGAGGATTTTATTTTCCACTTTGATGTTGATGAATCAGGTTTAGTTCAGAATTCAGAGGTGTGTTGGGAATGCATCTTTTATTTATGTGAAATAAAACTGGCTTTTCAGTTCGCTTTCTCATTAAGTCCAATGGAGCTCATTAGTGGCTTCCCGCAAAGCTGGACTCATTACTGGATATGGATAATTAATGAGATTAATTTCTTATGGCTTCCTGGCACGGGTAATTAGATTAATTTGTAGGTGGGATTGCGATTTTTTCAAATGAGATTTCCAATCATTTTTATTATTGCATTTATATGAAGGCTTACAAGTCTGCTTTTGACGGCGATGCTCAAATAAATTGCGGGATTTTTTCTTTTTCTCAGCTTTTCAATTAAAATTTGAAAGCATTATACTCACGAATTGAATACGGTATGCGATGTAAAATCAAGCATTAAATAAAAGCAGAAATGCACCAGTCTCATATAGTCATGTTTATACTAAAAACCCAGCATATCATCACGAAGTTGCTTAAATTTAACTTTAAAGAATAGGTAAATGCATGGGCCAGAAATTGTCCTTACATCACGAACAGAAATTGATGTATTCACCTGATCTGAACAGGTATTAAGATAGTTGAAACTGTACCTCATTCATACTCAATGTATATAGGCTGAGCTGGGCAGCTCTACTTTGAAATGTAGCGGCCGCTACCGCTCCCGCTACATGCTCTAAATGTAGCGGGCGCTACCGCTACAATTGCTTAAATGTAGCGCCGCTACCGCTACATGCTCTAAATGTAGCGGGCGCTACCGCTACAATTGCTTAAATGTAGCGCCGCTACCGCGACCGCCACCGCTACTGAAAATTTAGCGCCGCTACCGCTACCCCTACTGAAAATGTAGCGGCTGCTACATGTAGCGCGCTACTGCCCACCTATGTATACAGGTTATTGCGCTCACCGATGGAAGTTTCATATGCGTTGATGTGTTCAGACGTCATAAACTGACGACAAATGGACGTTTTACCGACGCCTGCCGCCCCCAGCATCACCACCCTGAACGTGACGCAGCATTCAGACGTCGACGACGCACGACTTGACGCTGCCGACGACGCAGCTGAGGTTCTGAGGGAGCAAGGGTTCGACCAGGCGCCTCGCCACTTGGGGTTCCTGTAGGCATATGAATTACAGTAAATAATATAAAAATACAAATAGAAATGAATAATATGAAAGCGACTCGCCACTTGGGGTTCCTGTAGGCACACAAATTACAATAAATAATTTAAAAATAGAAATGAATAATATGAATGCACCTCTCCACTTAAGATTCCTGTCCGCATACGAATTACAACAAATAATATAAAAATAGAAATGAATAATATAAATTATTAATGAGGTCTGCTAGACTATAAACTTTTGCATAAAAATTTAAAGCTCGGCTTATACATTTTTTGTTATTTTATTTTGATCCTAATTACTCAGCATGAACTATTATTTTTAGGCTTTTGACCACGTGAGAGGTGATATTTGTTGATGTCATGTTGATATCCTGCATTGAATTTTTACCAACTGTATAATTTTCGGTTCATTTTATTCTAATTTAATTTTTAACTTAACAGAAAATTATGAAATTGTTACGCTGGAGGCCGGGTTTTTTAACCTCATATCAAAAATTGAAAAGTTAGATTTGCTAATTCATAACATGTAGTGAAGGAACTGCGATTTAATTTTAAATATGCAAAATAACAGATGCAAAAAACTACCCATTTGTCAACTCTTCGACTCTACTGCATTGCTGGCAGTTAAAGATTAAATGTTATTGATGCAACTGCGTTTGTACCGACTACTTTCAGTATCGCACTCTTCTTCAATGAAATTGCGAGGGCTTACTTCTCAGAAATCATGTTCGCAGCGCAACCGGTCCCGCGAACAATGACTTACGTTTAAACTTATTATTAAACCAAAGCAGGTGTCTTGATTTCCACGAGCATTATGAAATTCATTTCTAATTGTGCATGAAGAACTTTAAAGACTGGTACTCAGTTGCTTAATTTAAAAAACAACAAAAAAACCTGATAATTATTTCTGCATGTCGAATTATCAAGAGGACAATCATTGTCAAGAAAAATGTCGATGGTGAAGATTAATTGTTAAGAAAGACGAAATCATCACTCACATTCTGGCCTACTGAACTATAACGAATCGTTTATGTCAGAAGATTAATGAATAGCCTTACTGCATGAATAACCGCCAAGGAAATTAATTGTGAACAGGAAGTCGCTGCTACCAATTTTATGAGTAACAAAAATTGAAAACTCGCATGATTAAACTTTTACTGATATCGACAGTAACAGAAATAACTGCGTTAAAAGACATTGGAGTTGAAAACACAGTCCTTTTCTGCAACCAAACGTAACATAAATATCAGTACAAAAATTGAAGTTGAAATCCAAGTCGGTTTTACCGGAGCGGAGCGAACAGAAATAGCAGTATTAGAATCTTTGTGAGAACGGACTGCAATTTCGCAGTAGTGGTCTCTGGTCATTATTTGCTACGAAACGAGCAGCACCAGAAACATATGTTGACGACAGTGAACTCTCCGACTGCAGGGCATTCAGAGGCTGGCCGTTACAAATATGTATTGCAAATGAGCTTCCTAGTTTTTCCGTTTGTAAAACCAGGCCTATACGGCTCGCAGCTGGAGGATATTTGAAGGAAGTGGCGATATTTTGGAAGTTTGGTTGTGGTCTCAAAATAGTAACGGGAGTGAAATCTGAAGCACTCTAAGCAAAATATAAAGTCGAAATGTTTTTCGAGTTTATGGGTCTGATTTAATATGAAAATTACTGATGGGACAAAATAGATAGTGCAAAGGACTATCTTATCCGCTAGTCCTCTGAGACGGTTTACTAAGCGATTCCAAGACACGCCGCCATGGCACGATAAGAAACGAGGGTTCCATGACGTACGGATAATAGAAAGAATATGACAAGAAAATTCACAAGAAATGTATACAACGAATAACGCATCATAAATATATATGTACATGAGATGACAATGTATGAACTAAAACATATCAATAATAAGGGAACGGGATAATCAAAAATTCAAATAAACAAACAATAAATCTAAGTAACCGAATCGCTTTTTTCTTCGGGTACCGCAGGCAAATCATTCAAACAATTAATGAATACAAATGCTCATTTGAAATTAACTACATCTAGTAGGCTACTTTACTGCTGCAAATTCCAGTGAACATAGAAATTGGCGGCTACAGATAGAAAGGTATCGTTGATGGAGCTGTATGCAATCCAGAAAATGTTTCATGAATGTATGCAATCCAGAAAATGATAGTTTTAGAATTCTGCATGGGCATATTCATACTCATAGAGTTCTGGAGCATATGTATTGTAATTACAAGAATAATTTTAAAGTAGTGGGATACGAAATAAAATATTTTAAACAAGAGAACAATGAGTTACAATGAACCATCATAATACTAAACTTATATTTTATTCTTTGACAGCCTTCCAGTGACGGAAACATATAGTTCTCGCCCAAATTTCGTCGGAACGTTGAGAAATGTTGTCTAGACGCTGGAAATTGTATGAAGATTGTTACTTTAATTATTATGTACTTTGTTGTGCTGGGCTGTGATACGGGCGAGAGTGCTAAAGGTATAAATTAACTAAGCGAAGCAGTGCTGATAAAGGTCAAACTTCGCAGTACCATTATACCATTAGCTTTTACAATTTTCGGAAAATCATAAATAAAGATTATAGCAAAAGTTTAGTACTCTCAGCAGAAATGAGAATGTAACTTAATTAAATATTTTTGTTCCTCGTTACAACAGCCCTGAAACTAGTTCAACCATGGAGCAATATTAGAACAGAAACGTTTAATTAACTTGTTAACAGTTATCGCTGTCGTATTATTAGTTAGCCAGACAATAATTCATGTATTTTCCAAAAAGTATACACATAGGCGCCATGTTACTCGGACACGTAGGATGCAGTGTTAGAAGATCCAAATATTACCAAAAGCTTCATAATAATGACATAATAGCTTCAAATTTTGGCTTCATTCTTGTCACCTTCGCGCATATACCAGAAAGTTGGAAATAGGTTATTTTATTATAATCTGACCAAAAAGTTTTTGCTACAAACTCCTGACCTGGCCTCTTGAAGAACCTTCATAAAATTTAGAAATAGTAATATTGACAGTAGAACCTGTACTGAACCTCATCTGTACCGAGAAAAGGTGAGTAGACAAATTAAATTGACTCAACTATAATTTCAAGCTATTTGTAATTCGGTATGTGAAAATGATCCCATTCAATTGCTACATGACTACATTCCATCCAGTCCTGATGATGTCCATTGTTGTGCATACCAAATAAGCACCTTGCTGTGACATATCGTCATACATAGTGAAAAACCACCTATATGTTGCATTATCAGACTTATCATCGCACTCACCAATTAATGAGGCATCTAGCTAGTGACAACCTCAAACATATCGTCATACTCCGTGAAAATTCACCCAAGAGGTGACATCATCAAAATTATATTCACTCAATACAGGGTGCAGCCCTTGTATAATAATATACAGTGCAACCCTTCTTCATGCATAATATTCAGCAGAGGTGCAGGTGTTGACGCCAGTGTGGTACTCTATGCGTGGTTTTGACAGGCGTTGTGCGGTGCATTTCAACAAACCGAAGTTCAAGAACTTGCACCACAATTCCATCTACTCTGAAATACGCGTGTTTTTAGCGCATTTTCTCATTTGTGGAAAAAAATGCATTATTGTGCTCGCCATGTCCGTCTGTCTGTCTGTCTGTCTGTCCGTACGTCCGTGACCTCAAGTTTTCGTCAACGAGAAAATGCGCTCTCTGTCACTCACTGCGGTGAGTACTGAGTTATATTTTTTGTTTAAAGGTTATAGTAGACCAAAAATATGTATCAATGAAAAAGAATGATTGTATTAATAGGCAGTGTATTCAGGCAGTAATCACCCCTAGGTTTTTTTCAAATTTTTTTTACTCCGGAATAAGTTTGATCTATAAATTATGAACCATTTTGACGGTTAGAGCTCACCGTTTGCACAGCACAGGCGTAATTGGATGAATTTTATAATTAATTATTCTAAAGTAATAAAAACCTCATCTACCGATCTTCTTGCTCATGATGATTTAATATGAGCGCTGCTAGTAATTTTCATGATTAATTTGTTTCGGTATCAATATCCTCAATAAGAATAAAACAATTTCTCTCAAAATTTCACGTAGTTTGAAACAACGTACTCTCTACATCCCTAAATCTGAATTCTACATTCCTAAATCCTATGTGGGAATCTCGAAAGGTTTATTTGTATCCTCCTTTGATCCTTAAAATCCGGGAAACTCCTGACTCTGTGTACCGCCCGCAAGTATTGAGTTTGTTTTGTTAGGGCGATAAGGCTTCTGCAAATGTGGCCATTTGCTATGGAGTCCCGGCCTCTGCAGACGCGATGTGGCCTTTCTTCCAACTACAGAATTTATGGCTGAAGTTTTGCTTCCGAGGATTTCTGTGTTCTGGTTCGACTCCAGGGGACAATATTGTAATTCGCAGGGAAAGGCTCGAAGGTTTGCACAGTAGCATGGTTTGTAGCAGATAAATGCTAGGCTCCAAAGCTTTAATGTCAAATTATTTTTTATCGAGTTGAATAAACTTTTTATGAAAAAATATATAATATACTGGCGGTCATGGAAGCAGATAGTAGTGGGCATGTTGTACGTAGTCTCTAAATGAGGTGATAAAATTATAAATATTGATGATTAGTAAGCTAAACGGATAGATAATAACGCAGAAAATGTTACAAAATTCAATCTAGTTTAAAATTTACTCCACTGATAAAGGTCAGGAGTTGAAATAGTTTAACCTGCACTGCTACATCTTTATTTAGTGCACTGCAATTATAAAGGCTTCAAGCTTTATAAATAGTATATAATTAAATAACAGCAATATATTATTTAATATACGATATTTGAGAGTATAAAATTACTTTTTATACTTTATGATTAATGTATCTATTTTAAAAATCAATATACACAAATAAAATGACGTTTAAACAAAGCTCAGATAAAAAGATCGGTCTTGCTTTATTGGTAACTTTTATATGAGGAAAAATTGCTTTATTTAGTTGTCAACTTTTTAGATGATTTGCAATAGGAAAAACCCAATCGGCTCTCCTCAAAATATCGTTCGATCGAGCACCATCTTGTAAGAATGTAATACCAGATAGACGATATCATTCATCTACATCGTCTGCCTCTCTGCACAATTCTTTCTAATCCTTGGAAACCGTTACTTCAATATTACTCAGATTATTTGTAAAAAATTGAAGTTTGTGTGAAAAAAAAATTATTGACTTGGAAGATTAAAATCAACCTTTTGAAATAAAGCCTGCAAATGTGGCATGCTGGAGAGAACGTTTAAATTGGATTTTAATCTACGGAAATTGCACATAGTATCCTGAAATTTCGGCTCCGAATAAATTGCGACAACATTTGCACCTCAGAGAAACAGACAAAATTCTCCACGCAGTCAATCCTTCCGACGGTGTTACTGATACCGAAATAACTCAAGAAATTATAAAATAACATAGATTACACTAGTTGAACTAATTACACATGGATTACGTGAGCGAACATATGATGGATGTGAGTTATTTGATGAATATATTATAGATATAATATAACTATATTATTAGAAATTTCAATGAATTTCATGTCTAATAATTATAATTCGTTAATGTTTATTATCAAGCAAGTATAAAATGTGAAAAACTTTTATGATCTTCAAAAGAAATGTTTAACTTCGTAAATAAATAAGTCACTTAATACACGTAAATGGATTCATTTATAAATATATAGATTCATTCAATAGGCAAATCACAGTTATTTTTTAAATGCAAGTGAGTTGACCTAACTGTAGGTAAGTTGAAGTTGCAGACACGAGTATTCGACCAAGAGTTTCATACAGAGTTACATTAGCAGGATGAGGAGAGCGCTGCCGTTGGTGAGAAGTTATGAGGCCATGGGTACAAGTTATGTTTGGCTGATGTATCGTTATAGTTGTACATTAATTTGCTTGAGAGTTGGAAGCATATTGGACAGCATGTTAAATTTAATAATATAGTTTGCCTACAATCCACGAGACGAATGCAGGCTATGGGACAACACGACGTGTCTTTCCAAGCAAAAAATCTAGTGAATGCTGCGAGGTTATGTTTTTCCAGCGCCCGTCATTTGCAATTTTTGGAATGTCTAGAAAATTTGATGGCACATATAATTGCATATGAATTAAAAATTTTCCGCGAACTTTGAGGTTTCGAAATTATGATATTAATATAATTTAGTGAAATAAAAATTACTCAAAAACTGCTGCAATTGGGATTTGGTTTCATCCAAAGATATTCACGAAAATGCAGAAAATACTTCAGAAGTATTTCAGATATTAAATTTAAATTGCTAAAGTTAAAATTGAACTGACTTTCTATGTTGTAATACCTATATTTGTAAATGAAGTTGAACAAATTTCTTACAATTGCTTTTGTATATAATGGCAGGTATAGGAACAAAATTTTTTATAGACTATCACTAATATATTCCATTTTTATATAGGTTTATTGTCCAAATACAGATTAAAGTAGAGCTGGACGCGTGTCGCAGTAATATCAAAAGCATCAACTGTAAAGTAGGTTTCATAAGCATAAAAAAATATTGAAAGTTTATATAAATAAACCATTGAGAGATAAGTTGTACTGAAAATCTAAAAATTAGGCCAGAATTAACGGCTATGAGGCTTTTTGCAAAGTATTCAAAATTGAACAAAATAAAAAAAAACAGCAGTATAGAAGCCTGAGTGAAGAAGAAGTAACGATGCATAATAAGAGTACTGAATAAATGAGGAGAGATTAGGAAGAACATTGAACATTATTGATAATAATGTGCTGTGCAGACCTCCTTTGATAAGATGATTTAAGAAGATTTGATTCAACGATCTTATAAAAACGTTTCTGGAGGAGAATATCAGATAAATTACAAGTAAATTTATGAAGCTGTCCGATCACTGGATCATCTTCATGGTTTCAAAAATATCGAAAAATGAACAAATTAGAATACAATGAATGAGTAATGAAACCGCAGGCCGAATAATTAAGCAAGACACCAATGAACTTTATAAATTCAATGCTATAATAACTCAAGGAAAAGACAGGTAGATGTTGCAGTGTCAAGACACTGCACCATCAGCCTTGTCTTAATAAAGTCATACAGGGACCCTAGCATTCCCTAAGGCACTCACCTTAGCCCGACTTCATTCATTTGTTTTATGAGTCCATCTAGGCAGTGTCTGCAAAGAAGAAAAGAAAGCGTTACGTGCTTCTGGTCCCGTGCGTACAACACAAATCAAATTTACACACGAAGCCTTCATACTGCGGAAAGTGTGCCATGAAACTGTGGTAAAGCTGTGCATACTAGAGAAAGTAGATAACTTGAGATGAAAGGTAAGAACTCAAAGCAGTATCCACAGGCAGAGCAGTTTCAACTAGAATACAACTGCAGACAAATTCACAAGGATTTCGACAGTGACAATAGTCAGTTAATAATAAAAATATTCAGGAAACACCAAGCAAGCTCCTAGCAATGAAGCGATAATATATTTCCTGCAGATAATGTTTTTAACAATGTTGCATCAAGTCAGAAAATATTCGCCCGAAATGTAACACTTTCCTCACGCAACATGATTAATAATATCATAACATTATTGATGACTGTACCATAAAACACGTTACTTTGTGAGAAATAGTGGAGCTGAAGATTAAGGGATTTGTCAAATATGCTTCAGAGTGCCTCAACGCTTTAAAAAAATGATTAAAAAACACCATTAATGAAGCACACTGAATATTGTTATGCTCATGACTCACATCTCGATCATATATTGTAACAGCCTTCCTTCGGCTACTTAGCGAAAATATAAAAATTTTGTTAATTAAAATGTTTTGAATCATATAAAGCGACATAAATTCAATCAAACACTCTCTAACCAGGAATTTTCCATTACACTTTAGAATGACAATTTTACGGTGAAGTTGGTAGCCGATAAATTGCATTTAACAAAATGTGCGTGTGGTATTCTTTCCCTTAATGCACAAATTCTCTTCGAAAATACATTCTAAGATGGAAGGGAGGTCATCGAAAAACTGCACTGAGTGCATGAAAAGATCGTATGAATTGGATTCTGGTCGAGTCTGGTAGGACAATATTTGCTTGAATTTTGTTCATCTTTGAAAGGCTTTCATAAGCTTGAATGGTTGCGTCCACATGGCACTAGAAACGGAACGCAGGCAAGCTTTGCGTTTCCTGGATTATAGTGCATGCGCGAGTGAGGAAAACGCACTCGTCGTTGCGTACGGTGAATAGGAGCTTTTAAACTGAGATGCTTGAATCTTGATTTTTTACTGTAATAGAGTATAGAATTCTTTGAGTACAGGGAAACAACGAAAAATCGTATGGTTTTAAAATTTGCAAATACATCGAATGACTTTGTTCTATAGGGAAGCTCAAACTTATTATACTGTGACTAAAATGTCTCAAAATAAACATCAGTCGGCATGAAAAAATTAACCTGAAAACTTTGTTCAGAATTGGTTTATATTTTGTAAATTTTGATAATTTTCAACATTTCGATAAAACAGATGTCTAGAGACATGCATTTTCAAAAAGAAGAAAAACTTTTGAATTAAATAAGTGTGATTTATTGATAAAAATTAGAACGATATTATCGATGAACCACGAATATTCGAGCTACTCGTGCGAAGTTAGACATATAACAATAAATGAAATCCTGGGAAATGCTCGTAAAAGGAAGCAAAAACAAACTTTGTGCACCAGGCTTGGTTCTTAATTGTTAGGTATTTTGACCAGAGAAATAAGGCATGAATGCATGTGTTAAGAAGTCAATCAATTTTCACATCGACTTGCGGCGAATTCCTGCAAAGAAGACATGCAAATGTATTTTCTGTCCCGCAATATCTCATCGTGATTAACTTTTTTAATTTTCACCATGTCACTTGTAGAGTGAACCATTATATTTGATATAGAATTATATAAAAAGACTCATAATGAGTGTTCGACATATTTTTTATTGTTGCGTCCATTGAAATTAGCTTCAAAAGTGTGAATTATGCATACATACAGTTATTCGCAATAGTATTGTAAATATTTTTTGATCGCTACGCCAAGGTAATTACTGATTTTATTTTATTCAATTTTAAAAACATCATTCACTAGTCAATGTTTGGTTTGAGATTTCGCCAATAATTCATGATCATTTTCAATGATATTTTTCATGCATAATTTTGGAATTTAAAAAAAATAATTCGACGCCCAAGAAAGTATTAGTGACATAATAAGACTCCTAAGTTTTTGTTATCGATGTCATGTTAATAATAAGTTAAGTATAACAATGGTTTCTCAATCATGAACACAGAGCGTTTTTGGCAAAGCTAAAAATGAATTAAAGATTGTTAAAAATTAGATTGAAGAATAATGGAGGAAACCTATTAAAAGCGTTATCTAGACATTCACGATGCATATTAAATGGAACGTCAAACGTTCGATCTTATCTGCCATGGGAATGTCCAAAGTCGAGAAATTTAATGTTTTTTGTTTACTTTATTCAAAGAAAACTCGAGCCCAGCCAGAATTGTGTTTTCAAAGTTTTATTGGCCGTAATATTTTACGACTGTCGTCTCGGGGATACGCTTGTAAAATTTTGGATGAGAACCTGGATTTTATGCCAAAATGTTTGTGATGATTGTGCGGTCCATTAATGGGAATACGTAAAAGTTGGAGGTGTTTTACAGTGTTTTTCTTTGTCATACGTTTTGGTTTGCTAGTTTATGATTTAGTCTATGTGTCGAGAAATGAATTTTGTGCTCAGTTTTGAAATTAATTTTGTGCTCGCTTATTTAAATTACGTTCTGGTTGCGACTCTAATTAGACAAAATCCAATTCATCAAGTTTTATGTTAATAAAAGCTAGATTAAAATTACTCATCAAGTAGTCATGAAAAATGAAATATTAATATGATTATAAATAACTTTTCCTTTGCAAAATGTCTTTGATTTTATTGCTGAAGAAAAATTCAAACGAAAATCTGATGAAATTAAAAAAAAATAATGTTTTTCCGGCAACACATATTTTAGAATTTATTGCATTCTTACAGGAAAAGTCAGTGCCAAAGGACCAGACTTTATCATAACCGAAGTCTCAGCAGTACATCTCGTCGAGTCCAAACTTTTGCTGGTCGTGTGTTAACTTGAGAAAGAAACTTGTTATTGCTTCTTTAAAAGTAAACGGAGAAATTTACATGTCAATTTCTCTGCGGAAAGTTCAGGGGGCACTGCAATATCAGTCGACTTCTTTGGCAACTTTCAGGTGACGCATGAAATCGAATTTGCAGCGCGAATGGATGCACTAAAAATCATCTGGTGTACGCGACGAAAACTGGAAATGTTTCGAAATAATGACGAAGAACTTCATCTTTTTCCGAAAATTGAGTTTCTGCGAAGGTGTATTACTCTCTGAGAGGCTTTGAATTTTGCTCCATTGCTGAGCTTCGGTGAAATTGTGAGACTCGTTTCACTGGGAGCGAAAAATCATTGCACGAATGAAAATTGCTTGATAATTCAGTTGCGGTGCTGGTATAGCAGAAATACTGCTTGTGAAACTGAAACGAAAGTAAATGAAAACTAGTTTAAGAACAGTGGCATAGGAAAAAAAACAAGTTGGAGAATTTAATGCATTGCCATAAACAAAGCAATACATTATTTTTTTCGTTCACTTTCACCATCGTCTTTGCTTCGACTCTTCTACCCTGATTATTATTATCAAACGCTATCGAATGCAATTTCCATAATTTCCAAAAAATCAAAAATATCTAAGCATCATTATTTTCTTTTTATATCTCTGTTTACGTCCACTGTAACTTTAGGCTTGAAATTGGAAAAGTTTACGCAGCACAGTTATTCATCTGTGACCGGTGCTACATGACGCTCTTGTTTGTCATGGCAGCTGCGTGTTCATTTCGTGGAGTTTTGTGAAGCCTTGAAGTCGTTCGTCACCTTCACTTGAATGCCTCGAATGCGGCGTGGTAAATTGAGGCTAGCTGCTCCACTGTTGGCTTGCGAGCTGGAGCTGCGTGAGATAAATGATCGGACTGGCAACTGAGACGGTTATTTCGCATCATAAATTTGCTCCAGATGTAAAACTAAATAATGAGAATGTTCAGGAAATTTTGTTCATTATTACTTAGAGAAACTGACAGGCTCTGCAAGGTTTTCCGGATATGAATTATCCCGCTCATAAGCGAGATCAATTTCAATGAGAAATTCGTCGTTCTCATTTCGAGATATTATTCAAAATATAATATAAAAGAATATCGAGGCAGAAATTTTTTCTGTATTCTGAAAATCATGACGATATGTGGAAGGAATGTGGTCAAATTTCTTATAATGATTTTAATTTTGATTAACTGTAGCAAGATGCGTATTTTGATTATAAATAAATCATTTATTTTTATAATAATTAATCGTTTCTACCGCTTGACCGTGGTCGAAATATCTTTGAGATACAGGGAGACACAATTGCTCCTCAATGTATGATTGATATCCGTGAACATTCATTTAGTAATTGTGTTTCTTACTTCATCAAAAGAATGAATAGCAAATTAAATCTTTTCATGGTGATAAACAACTTGTTGAATTCTACGCCCGTATAAAAAAAGTCGACATAAAAAAACAGCGTACTCTCTCTCTTGATTATGTGATAATTTCCTTGTGAATCTTCGTCACAAATCCAATCAATTTTTCGATACGTCCGACCACAAAAATACTTGTAAGCGCAGCATTTCAACTGATTTTAAAATGTTTTCAATTGTAGAAAACAGGATAGTTTGCGTATTGAAAGTCATAGTAGAATCATCACTTGTTGTATTTTGGTATTTATTTTGTAATGAAATCCGTGAATTGATTATAGTTGTTTCACGTTGAATGTGTTACGAAAAACATCAATTGAAAAATGCGTTTACGACATCGAATTTGTTATACAAGTAAATCAGTGGTAAAATGTAATTTCGAATTGAATGTGTTATAAGAAAACATCAGTTGAAAACGGTAGCATTAGCATTAAAAACGTTATGAAGAAAATTCAATCGGAAACTTGAGTTTCGGTTATAAATGCGTTGCAAAAACCATTACTTGTCAATTATAGTTTTGTCATTGAATGCGACCCAAGGCGTTGCGTGATCCACCGAAGAGCTCACGCACTGCAACGCAAATGTAGGCAGAA